GGCTGGGTCGGGGAACTTTTTCCCTAGTCAGTTTCGTAAACAACCTGACGGAATAGGGCATGCGGAGGCTGCGCGGAGCTCCCGAGGAAGAGCCCCCGCGGCTCAGCCAGCCGTCCCTCTGCTATTTATTTTCATATTCCGCCCTGTTGCGGGCAGCCTTTGCCGCTGTCACGGGAGCGTTGTTAATCTGCCGCTGTTGGTGGTGGAGGAGGAGGCGCTGGCTGCGTTCTGCTTGCCGGCGTCGCCGGTGGCAGATCGGCCACGCTGGAGAGAACGACTTCGTGTGCGCTTTGATTCCAGCGGGGAGAGGCCGTAGGACTGCCTGCCCCGAAGACAGGCTGTTGGACAGCGAGGCGTTTAACGCTTCGGGCAGGGATAATTCAATGCTCAGAAGATCCAGTATTGTACGGGACATTAAAATAACCGGCGCTTTAGGAGAATTAGCTATTTGGAAATGAGTTTGGACGGTGCATTTGAGAGGGAATGGAAAGGTGTGCTGTACAGGTGCCTGGTTTGTCTGGTGTGTAGGTAGCTGCTCACACGGGTGAGACACTGGCTCGCTGCTCTGTGGGAGCGATGGGGCTGGAATAACTACAGTCCTCGGTGTGCTAATTGAGCTCCTCATTGCTTGCATGTGAAGGTGATTACTGTGGATGGCTGATGATGGTTTAGAGTGCCATTCACTCAAACGTGGTACTGCTGCTTTTGCCTGTGTCTGCCTGTGGGCATCTGAACTGGTTGTGACAGCAACGTGTGCAGCTGGACGTGGCTTCAGGGCTGAGATGCTGCTGTCTTGGAAGATGTTGCAGATGGTTCTCTGGAGTCTCTGTTGACTTTAAATGCTTTTGGATAATTTTAGCTTCACTACAAAAAGAAGCTGTAATTTCTATTAGGGACATAAGGAGAAAAAAACACAGTGAAGTTCTCACTTGATGCCTTGATCTGTCCAGTTATTTTAATAGCAGTAAGGGTCTGCTGTGTACTGGATAACTTCAGTATTTGAATACTGGTAGAAATTAATTCTTTAAACTAAAAGCTTGAGCTATGCCCCTACAGAAATAAAAAATTCTCACTCAAGTGCTGCAGTTTGTACTCTTCTTCCAGTGAGCATCTGTGAAAGAGGAACCTGCGTCTGCTTTGTCACATGCAAGGATCTCTTCAAATTAATAGCAGAAAAAGAAATAGTTCACTTTAAAAGGGAACAGCACTGTGGCATTAAGCTGACCTGTTGATGGTGAATTTTTCAAAACAACTTATTGTCAGTTTGTGTTATCTACATCTTTTTGTCCTCTCAGCTGCTTTATCTTGAGAAAAAATCTTGCTATCACCAAGTGATGTTCAGCAGAAAATTCTACCTTCCAAAAAAAAAAAAAGATAAATAGCTGGGAAATAAAGATCTCTGAGCAGAGCCCCAGGTACCTTAGAGAAGAGTTTTTTATTGTTTCCATGCTTGTTATGTAGTTACAGACAATAAGAGGCAGTTATTTATATACCACACTATATTCCTAAGCTTTTAATTTGGTGTTATTACCAAGTGTGTGCAATGCTGTGCAACCACTTGTGTAGCTTCTCTATGGCAAGTGCATTGCCAAATACATTTTGTCTTTTATAACTGCATAGAAACAACTTCAGATTGTTTTAAAATTGATTACAAGCAAACCACATGCTTCATTTTTTGAATTTCTGGGGATTAAGTGACAAACTTTTAGTTGCCTTCACTAAAACATGGATCAGCACTAGCTCTTGCCACATGACAAGTCTTGATGTCAGTGAAAGACTTTTTCTTCTTTATTGCTTGTGCTTAAAAAGTCTGTCGCCAACTTGGTTTTGAAGCTTAAAAATGAAAGTCTTACTGATATTAGCAAATATTTCCCTGCTTAGTCTTGCTTTCCTATAATTATGTATTTACTTTTCAGTAAATCAGTACTTCAGTACAGTTATTCTTGCTTTTACTTCAGTGCTGCTGATTGTTTTCCAGTAAATCAGACTATTCTGGTGCTAGGGTATCAAGGAGAATGATGTGCTGGGATTTACGTTGTCTTTGAAAGATGAAGAGGGATTCCTATTTGAAAATGGGGAAGTTCTTCCTTCATTTTGGGTGAAATAAATAAGAATGTGAGGAACTGAGGGTGCAAGAAGAACCTGTTCATCATCTTTCTTTTGCCAGCTATCTGAGCTCTGTGCACAGCCTTATTTAGGTGTTGGTGGGGAAGAAGGGAGGGGTCATTCTTACAAGAGTTGTGGTGACTGAGGTTGGTCTCTCGTTACGGTAGCGAGCAGCACGTAGAGTGCTCCTGTGGGTGCTGGCCGTGTGTGAAGGCCTCGGTTCCTGAGGATTGTTGTGCCTCAGCTGGAGCTGGAACAACGATGTTTTTGTCAGGAGGCCGAGTGAGCAAACCCTCCTCATACAATGAAAGCTCTTGGACGTGCACGGCGTTCAGCGCCGTTGTGCCAGTTGGTGCAGTGGGAATGGTCCATGAGGTGTGTCAGTGGTCACCTGTGTCTCATTTCTTGTGATCTTGGGTCTGCTTTTCAGAAGTTCATCTAACAACTTGGAGAAACTTTGGGGTATCCATCAGCAGATCAAAGCTTTCAGTGGTTAGAGGACTGGTGTGTTCCTCAAAATTCTTCCTCTGGGGAGATAAACACAGCTCAATATTGCTGTTGGTGGGCCAGGATTTCATCCTGGAAATACCAACTCATTTCCTTTAAATCAGGATGTGATATATGACCTTACTGCTGTTGGGTCTGTGGACTCTTAAGACGGGAAGTGAAGACCTTTTAATTGTAGAGGAGACTTGATGGGATCTGTTGCAGCTCTACACTTTAGGAAAGCAGCAGTGAATTCTACTTCAGCATTATACCATGGTACTTTGTACAAATGTGCCAGAACTAAGCATTCCTTCTCTTATTTAAAACATACACAAATAATCCATCATGCTCACATCCCAAGAGGCAGAGAACTTTTGAAAGGCATTGCAGCCAGCTCACTGGCCTCTTAGCAGGCTGAGGTATTTGGGAGTAGGAGCTGTGCAGAGCACACAGCTGTTGCCACAATAGCTTTTCTCCAGCTGTCATGCAGAGGTCTGTCACAAAATACCCCACATTCCCTTCTAACTCAGCCCTTTGTAATATTCAGGTTTCCTTGCTCAAAGGGAGTACAGCCTAGCAAATACCTCATCACCCTCTGCATTTTTTTTATCCTGCAGTTGCCATTTATTCATGCTTTTTTTTTTTGTTAAACTGAACAATGTATAGCTAGTGTTAGCAGCATACAGCAAGAAAGCCACAGGGTTTTGTTCTTCCAAATCTACTCTGCAAGATAGAGGATGTGTTTGATCAGAATTGTTAAAATTATTTGTCACACTGATGTTCATCTTCATAAAACTGTAGGTTTTGTTCCATGATAATGACATGTATATTTTTGCATACTGAGTGACTTTGGTGACTTACAAGGGTATATTAGTTACAAATGTCACTAGAACCTTGAGATGGTGTTGACTGAATGGACTTCAGTGTGGCTGAGCTTAGTTTGTCAGTCAGCTTAATGTCAACTGTGGTAACACATGAACGTGTTTGAAACTGCTAAAATACTTAATGTGATATAAAATATATGTAGGGGTTCAGCGTTTGGGGGGATTTTGTTTAGTGATTCCAAGCAGTATTTACAAACTTAATTCTTACTGCCAAATTTGTAATATGAAGCATTCTTCTTATCACTCAAACTGCCAGTAACAAGTCCTGATTGGAACTGAGCTTATGGTTCTACCAGCTAGTGAGTAAAACAAGTTGGATGTAGATTTGTTGACTCCTTAATGTTAGGATCAGTCACTTGTCCAAAAGCAAGCATATCTGACCTGCAGATGGGTGGTGGGCAGCTGTTCAGACATTTTTTCTCCCCTTTTTCCTTTTCCAAGCTGCTACTTTCACAAGACTGTTGGTTCTCATTAACTACCAAAAAAGCTAAAGGTGGGTTGTCTTAGAGTATCTTTTATCTTTCATACAGCTGTTAGGCAAGAAAAGAGCTTGTTCTGAATTTTATTGTGAAGCTCTAGAATAGAGTGGTAAAGCAGATTGAAAAGCAGCAACTGAAGCTGCAGCTGGTGCTGGAGCTGGCGTGCTGGATGTTTGACTGACCCCCACGTCTTAGTGTACCCCTTTTGTGTGCTGCTTCTGGGGGATGTGCAAATACCTCACCAGCTCCTAGGTATTCTGACTAACCCTGCTGACCGTCAAAAAAAATGCTCTTCAAGTAAGCACAGAAGAAAATCAAAGGGATAAAATGCCACGAATTCCAGGCTGCAGATTCATGCAGGGCTATGCTGGGACTGGTATGCTTACATTTTGATAAAAGCGTGGGGCCTTCTTACGGTAAGTGGTGGAGTGTAACACAAGGTGACAAAATACAGTTCAGGAGAGCGAGTGACTGATCGTTGGCATCTGTTGAGGTTAAAGGTGGGAAATGAAAATCCTAATCAAAACAAAGCCCTTGTGATGCAGTCACCTGGAATAATAAGGGCTGCTTGTTACACTTCTTGTGAAACTTGAACTGCTTGGCTCCTTGGTTCCTAGAGCACTGCTACCAAACAAAAGATTTGTCTGGCTCCAGTTAGTGCAGCTCTACAGCCTGGGAGGTGCAGTAGGTGACTGCAGGCAAGGAGGAAGCCTTGGCTTGCACCTGGGTGTTGTGGTGGAGCTAGCGATGGTACAGTGCATTGTAACTCAGCCAGCAGTGACACCGTGCAGGGTAGAACCTACCTCAAACTGGCCTAAGTTTGGAGTAGTGCTTAAATCTTGAGATACTGACCATTCCAGTTTTGAGGAATTTACAAGCCTTTTCCAAAGTGAAATTCCTTTAGGATAACTTAAACCGTACTGCAGTCAGAAAGCACGTTGCTGTGTGTTAACCCCTAGCAGCAGCTGCTTATGTAGCAGGTAAATATTGACGTACCTTTGGGTTATCAGGTTGTCTCCTACTGCCACTTGCACAAGGGGTGCTGGCACGGCTCCCCGCATCGCTGGCCGGCGTGCCCTTTGTGCCCGCGGGATGAATAGGCAGCCGCTGGCCCCTCGCCCTGCCCCTCCTGCCCTGCTGGAGGGAGGGGCTCCTGCCTCCGCTATTGGCTGGACCTCTGGCTTCCAGTGCTCAGGAGTGGTGCTAGAGGGTGGCTCTTATAAGCAGAGCCCTTTATATTCAGAGAATTTTGAAGGACCTGAATGGCTCATGTTTGTATACCTTATGCAGCCTGTCTGAATTTATGGAAGGTGTTGTGACAGAGCTCCTTGATGTACCTGAAGATAAATACTAACTTCATGAAGAGAAATGTAGCAGTCTTCTGGCTACCTGGTAGGCAGGTAGGCTTTTTGCAGACCTTCCTAAATTAGTCACTCCTCAGGTGGTATAACACAACTGGATAAGTTTTCTGTTGGTTCTGGCAATTCAGATGGCTTAACTGCACTGCTTTGGTAGTCTTGTCTTCGTTTACAGCCATAAGTGCCATTAAAGGAAAATATAACGTCTAGGTAAAAGCAGCACTTACTACAAATGTGTTCTGTTTGAAGAAATATGTAAAAACAGTATTAAAACTGAAATTTAATGTACCTGTAATTGCTTCTCTCTCTTTTTTTTTTAATTTTCCCTGTTGCTTTTTATATAATGTCTGAAGATTTCCAGATGTAACTTTGATCAACCAAGACAAACTTTTATTGAAAGGGCTAGAGTGAATGGGATCCAGATTGGAAAGCTTCATTGTAGGTAATACCAGTGGGCAGTGTTTGCCTGGCAAATGGTTTGCCTTACAAAGATGCTGGATTTTGTAACACAGAAGAAAATACTTTTTTCCTCTCTCTTTATAACTTAATTAGTTGAAGTAGATAGCAGACAATAAGGATGTTTATTTAATCCATTTGCTTTGCCTTTTCTTTCTTGTTCTCCTACTAAGATGACACACCATGCATGACCTTAGGCTAATCACATCCCAGGGGTAAATGGCCTCATAGGTAGCATGGCTTGATGGAACTGCCATGAGGTTAAAATTACTTTTTTTAATAGCTTGCTTGCTTTTACTAGGTTGCCCCTGAGAGGGCTGGCTGGAATGCAGTGCATGGGCTGTTGGTGGTTCAGTCAAAGTCCCGTATTTGTGTTTGAAGCGCCTGATGGAGCGTTATGCGTGAGGCTGCCCTTCACCACCTGAGGTCAGGGATTCTACCTGCTGGAGATCCTGTTGGGTGATCCATCTCAGGACAGAAAAGGAGAAGGAGCTTCTGGCAGAGAGTCGTGTGGAGCTCCCCAGAACTGCGTCAGGCAGCGGGGGTTGTGTGTGCAGCCTCAGTGGCCGTGCTGAAGCTGTCACGGAGCAGAGCGTTGTGCTGGTGCACCTGGAGAAGCTGAAAGGCCTTGGGAGGGAGGGCAACTTGATGGCTTGTTTGCTTTGTTGAAGGGACAGCCAGCAGGGAGGCACAAGGCTAGGGAAATGTTTATAATCCTCAAACATGAAGAAAGAGGGCTTTGCTGTAATTGAAAGTTTAATTTGATAAACAAGTACTACCAGTAAGGAGAAATGCTCTGAAGGTCCCCATGCTGCCACAGCAGTTTACCACTATAGGTATTTAGTCTGCCTCGTTCATGAACTCCACGAGGCATCAGTTAAAAATAACCAGGGAATGTTTTCAGCCAGGCTGGCTTACCCTGCCTGGTTCCTGGGCAGCTCTGCAGGCAGCTCCATCGGGCAGTCGTGCTCCTTTAACCAGAGCTGCACCCGTCTCTCGCCTGTGTCCAGGCAGTGAACTGGGCTTTCTGGGGAGTCCAGGTAGGAACGTGCACAGAAGGGCACTATTAAAGATGGCATAACAGACTAGCTGCTCGGGCCAGCGTGCTTTAATAATTAACTCGATGATAGCACTGACACACAAAAATGCTACAATTTGAGCAAAAAAAATTCAGTGTAACGCTAGTAACCAAAGTAATCTTCAGAGATCCTTATGCAGAAGACCTGTGAGAAGCATTATTTCTCAGCAGATTAGCCTTAGGAACTTACATTCATAACTTCCATGTGTGTCACTTTCCTCAAGTCTTTTACAAAATAAACTTGAGTACAACATACAACCGAATTATTTTTCCAGTCCTGTTTGGAGTATTCTGTAATTGTGATATAATATGTTGAGTTGCTAGTTATATTTGCTAGGAAGAGGAGAATTTTAAAATTATTGCAGTTACCATTTTGAGTTTTTCTGACAAAACGAACTTGCTCAGCTCATACCACAGAGCATCTTCAGAATTCACCTTTTAAGCAGCTATTAATCTGTAAATCTGCAAGCAAATCTGGATCTTTTGCTTCTTAAGTGATAAATAAACCATCAAATGGTAGGATGGCAGTGATAAATCTGTGTGAAAAATCCAGTCTCTTTGGCTAGAAAAGTGATCTGCTAAATTTTTTCTGTTATTTGACTTAATCTATATGAGGAAGGTGAGTGGGATTACA